TCCCAACTTCATCCAGCAGTGTTTTAAACTGGCGATCATTTAAAGCTCGGGCAACAATAAAGTTGACCACCTGAATGACCAGCGACATCACCTCACCAAGCTGCTCGCCACACATTTGAGCACAAAGCGCCTCCTGATGTAGAATGCAATGAAAACTTAGGATGGGTCCATTTTCATGTTCATGAAGAAGCCCTACAAATCCTCTGTTTTTCCCCACCATACACGGAGCACCATCAGTACACACCGAAATTAGTTTATCCATCGGTAGATGTTTTTCTTTAGCGAACTCAGTGAAAGACTTGAATAAATCCTCCCCTCTTGTTGACCTTTTATTGGCAAAACAGCAAGACTTTCTTTACGCAGTATGTCACTGGCAGCATACCTTGCAATCACACTGAACTGGGATAAATGGCTTACGTCTGTTGACTCATCAAGCGAGCAAAAAGTATGGCGCTGCATTTATGTCCTTCACTTGTGTTTCCTCCACTTGATTTGCCATCATGATGGTACGATTGTGAACAGTACTTGCTGACAGAGGCATGTCTTTTATTCATTTGATTATCTTATCTTTATCCGAAAAGTCGTATTAGTTCATTGGCCACATCAAGCATGAATGATTTGGCATACTCGCCATCTGTGAATGGCTTTCCGTTCCTCACTATTGCTAAAGAATCAGCAAAGCTAGCCGAATTCCAGTCACCTTGTCGGGTCCATACACGGAGTTGCTGCTGACTAGCTTGACTAGCTTGCACTCTGCACAGTAGCTCTTGGTATGCCTTCTTCCTGCTGTCCCCCACTGGATATTTCGATGCAAATGTAGCATAGAGTGTGTTGAAGTGCCACTTTATATTTGACCGTTTCATCCATGAAATTTTATCATTGCATATTAGACACACTGCAGAACCCGCTCTCTCCACAAAGGCGAATTCCTCTGTCCATTCATACTGAAATGTACGGTACTAATCTTTTTTCTTTTCGCCATCTCCTTCATCAAAAAGGTTTGCTCTGCATAAATTAGCTAGAAAATTATTTGATTAAAAGGAGAAAAGTTTACTTCTTGACCTCACAATGACCCGTGTAGGTTACCGCATTATCCAATAAAAATAGAGTTTTGGTGTCTGACCCTCCTGTACCCGAAGGACAGCTGGGATTGGCTCCAGCCACCCGCAACCCTGAATTGGAAATGGATTAAAATGCATGAGAATGTTTTATATTTTGAACGTTATTTTTAACACTGTGATTTCTGTAATGTTTTACTTTAAAATGTCAGCAGAATTATTCATTACTTATGGTGTTAAGAAATATCAGTTAAGATTTATCTGCGAGCCAGATGCGGTCATCAAAAGAGCCACAGGTTCCCGACCCCTGCTCTATGGGTTCCAGGTCTGGTGAGTTTGCAGGCTAGTCAAGCACACCAACACCATGGTCATTTAACCAACTTTTGGTGCTTTTGGCAGTGTGGGCAGTCACCAAATCCTGCTGGAAAATGAAATCGGCAACTCCAAAAAGCTGGTCAGCAGAAGGAAGCACGAAGTGCTCTAAAATTTCTTGGTAAACGGGTGCAGTGACTTTGGTTTAAAAAAAACAAACAAAAGCAAACAGTGGACCAACACCAGCAGATGACATTGCACCCCAAATCATCACAGACTGTGGAAACTTAACACTGGACTTCAAACAACTTGGGCTATGAGCTTCTCTACCCTTCCTCCAGACTCTAGGACCTTGGTTTCCAACTGAAATACAAAACTTGCTCTCATCTGAAAAGGGGACTGGGCAACAGTCCAGTTCTTCTTCTCCTTAGCCCAGCTAAGACGCCTCTGCCATTGTCTGTGGTTCAGGAGTGGCTTGACAAGAGGAATACAACAACCGTAGCCAAATTCCTTGACACGGCGGTGTGTGGTGGCCCTTGATGCCTTGACCCCAGCCTCAGTCCATTCCTTGTGAAGTTCACCCAAATTCTTGAATCGATTTTGCTTGACAAGCCTCTCAAGGCTGCGGTTCTCTCGGTTGGTTGTGCATCTTTTTCCTACCACTCAACTTTGTTAACATGCTTGGATACAGCACTCTGTGAACAGCCGGTTTCTTTGGCAATGAATGTTTGTGGCTTACCCTCCTTTGTGAAGGGTGTCAATCATTGTCTTCTGGACAATTGTCAGATCAGCAGTCTTCCCCATGTTTGTGTAGCCTAGTGAACCAAACTGAGTGACCATTTTGAAGGTTCAGGACACCTTTGCAGGTGTTTTGAGTTGACTAGCTGAGTGGCATGTCACCATATTCTAATTTATTGAGATAGTGATTTGGTGGGTTTTTGTTAAATGTGGGCCAAAGGCATCACAATTAAAAGACCGATCCATCCATCCATTTTCCTCTGCTTATCTGGAACCGGGTCGCGGGGCCAGCAGTCTAAGCAAAGATGCCCAGACTTCCCTCTCTCCAGACACTTCCTCCAGCTCCTCAATGCCGAGGCGTTCCCAGGCCAGCCGAGAGACATAGTCCCTCCAGCATGTCCTGGGTCTTCCCCGGGGCCTCCTCTCGGACCCAACGGCTTAAACTACTTCAGTCTGTGTGTACTGAATTTATATAATACACGAGTTTCACTATTTGAGTTGAATTACTGAAATAAATGGACTTTTCATGATATTCTAATTTATTGAGATGCACCTGTATGTGCTCAGAATGCTTAGAATTGCAGCCGTGCACTTTGGCCACAAGGGGGCTCATATACAGTCGGCAGCCTTTGCAGCACTCACAGTGGTGAATAATCATTAAAAATATCTCCTATTCACATTATAAGGATCAGCACCAAATTCTAATCAGTTGTTCTGTGGCCCATACCCTACCTTGCCAAAACATTTCATTGAAATCCATTCATTACTATTTGAGCTATGCTTTTAACAAACAGACCAACCAACAAACGCCAGCAAAAACATAATCCTCGCACTTGGCAGAGGTAATAACTATCAAACCTTAGTTGCAAGTACAAATACTTTTGACTGTTCCAAGAGGTCTTAACATTTTATTTCAATAATAAACTAGAATTACCACTTTTAACTTCAGAAGGATGACAGGTGCAAGCACACTAATTATTTGGGTTCATGTACTAGGTGCAGCAGTGCAAAGTCAAAAGGGCTGGATGAGGTGGAATACAAATCTGACAGTGTGGTGAATAAATTTGACTTTGTAACAGCTAATGTCAACACCAGCTCAACAAATGGACCAAGGCTTCTCCTCTCATATTGTTGGAGCAAAGTGGCACAGTCTGAACACAGCACCTTACATCTGTAGCTAGAAGCAGATAGTGTGGATTTTTATTAAGAGGATCTGCCAGGAAGAATGAGATAAACTGCCCTAGGTCTGCAAAGCTTGAGGAGACTTGGCCAAGAAGACTGGAATCTGTAATTCCTGCCAAAGGGGCTTCTACGAAGTACTGAATCAAGGCTCTGAATACCCATGGATGTGCTCTCCTACCGGCCTTGTTTATAAATTCGAATACAAAAAAAAATTTCTTACATTTCTCTCTGTTATTAGCCAACAGCTGTGTAAAAACATTCAGGCCTTAGCCTTTCGGGTTTAGCCGGCACTGAGTGTCGCTTTCACTGGTTAAAATGACAAACATCGCTGGCAGCAGTTTACAAACCTTTAGCCATGTCTGGAGCACTGTTCCCTCATCTGCTTCATGCTGAGGGCTTGTGTTGAAAAGTCTGCAGTCCAGGATCAAACCTTAATGCTGTCCCTCTGTTTCTCTGTACAGATGAGTCACGCAGGAGAAGTCAGGAGCTGCTCTCAGGCTGGGTCAGGGGTATGTGCGACACACATCAGCAGTATACAGCACTCCATCTGTTTGTAGCTTGTTTCTGAATCAGGCCCCTCCTCTCTTTTTCTTCCAGTTCTTTGCCAGTATGCTCACATACCCTTTTGTTTTGGTGTCAAACCTCATGGCTGTCAATAACTGCGGGTGAGTTGGCGGGTGATATGCTTTTGCAAATCCTCCCAAGTACTAGATCAAGCTCACTCATATCCCCACTCTCCTTTAGGCTTGCTGGAGGCCTACCTCCCTATGCATCAGTATATCCCACCTGGGTGGACTGCTGGAGGCATCTAAGCAGAGAGGTAAAAGGATCAGATACCTAAGACCTGTGAGATAGACCCAGATGCAATATTCAACACTGGTGTGGGTGGATGTGGAGGTTTTACTGCTGTCGGTTTAGCCATCAGTAAGCGTCACATGGATCATAGCATGTTACCACTACAGTATATTTAACATTGTGCACAGTGGCTTTCATGTAGAATAATAAGCACCTCATTTTTGAGATACTAAAGGGTTTGCAGCAGAGGTCACACTAAACTTGTTCATTTTGATGAACAGGGTCATAAAAATTGTCATAATTCATTATTACTCCTCAATTTAATTTAAATTTTTAATGCTAAAACATTTAATAACATTTAATTTTCATTGTTGAAAAAATTTAGAAAAAAAAAATCAACCGGACTTGGGTTTTAGGTTTAGGTTTTCATTCATTTTTTAATAATTAATACACAGAACAAGCTAATGTGCAGCCACCTGGTGCCACTAAAAACACTGCGCCCAGTTTGCGTAAACAAGCAAATATAAACATTGCAATTTTACAAAATTAGACATGTACCATTAAAATATGAACTGATTAACAAGAAGGTAGGCTAACTGAACTGAGCTCAGCTGACCTGCTGTAGCCTGCTGCAGAGGTGATGGTCACTAGGTTTCTCATGGCCCTTAACATTTTGATCTGGAAGCTGAATCCACATCTGCTGCCGCACTGGAGACTGGATTCGCCAGCTCCAGCCAGAGTTTTGAAGTTGGGAAACACTTTTCTCTAGAATTGATCTGAACCTGCCGCGTTCACTTCACCAGGAGGGGTCTGTGCTCCTTCTGCACCCCTCTGTAATCTGTAGTGGTCACAGATGCACTTCCATGGCTGTTCAACGTGCCATTAGCTCCTGGAAAACGAGATTGCCCTCTGTCAAAATGAGGGACCTATGCCATCGCCGTGCCATCGCCATGCCATCCGTACATGGGCACCTGCTATTTGTAGCACCCCTGTTTTAATGTTTTATATGCTGTGATCTCGTTATATGCCATGAGCATTAAATAATTTCAAAAGTCAGACATGGGCAGTGCTGAAAACATTTGGCCTTTGGGTTCCATGTGTACTGTAACATCCAGCCACTGCCAACACTTCTTTCCTCTCTTCATTCCAGGGCAACATGTGCAGAGGCAACAGTTTATTTTTCCGGAAGCTTCCAGCAGGAAAGATGTATGCTGTTGGCCAGAAGAGATTTTTTTAAAGCCTTGAGAAAACTGAGCTGACCTTAATTGTGGTAATAAAACAAAACAAAAACAAAAAAAGGGCATGATCTGGAGTTTGGACAGTCAGCATTTAATCTTTTTTGTATGTACTTGTTTACTATGAAACAGTTTTCCTTCAACAACTTGCTGTCATGGAATTAAAACATTAGTTTCAAGCAGGTTGTGTTTTACTAACAAATGTACTGAATAAACTGCAGGCTCCAGAAACCATGAGATGAAACGATGCGTTTCTCTTTTTAAACCCACATGTACAAAAGCTGATGGGAGGACAGGTCGTGCTGGCAGCAGCGTGTCTGCTCCTCCATGCTTTTATCTATGGATCAGTGACTCCCTTTCATCCATGTGATGGGATGTTTGTAGAAAACAGCGCCTCAGTCTGCATGTGTTCATGTTTTAATAATTCACACAATGATCATGTGGGACTTCTTGTCATGTGGTATTGTCTTGATGTGTTGATTATTGTGAAGCACACTACTAAAAGGAGGGAACAGAGTGGTGGTTATGCAGAGCATGTATGGATGAACAGAGGCATGGAGAGGAGCCTGAGCTGACCAAAATCTCTCTGAGGAGAGCGCTTACATCAACTCACTCTGACTGACCCAAATAAAAACTGCTTTTTTTGGACCTTGTCTTTCTTGTTGAGGTGTTTGAATGTAACTATGTGAAATGATGCACACACTTAAGAGCCAGTAGGGAAAAGAATCATGCACACAAAACAGTACTACTGCTTGGATACAGGTGTTCTGAGTTAAGACATCTCTGGCACTGTTGCCAGTGCTTTTCCTACTTTAATCACATGAAAAGACCCAAACCAACAATGAGTGTCTACAAGTATTATGTATTTGGTACCTGATATATACATGTTCACCATGAGCACACACTGGTTGGCTCGGTCCCACATCCACTGTCCAGGGGTCTGTACCACAAAGTATGATTAGTGGCTAATCCAGCTAACTCGGGTTTTCCAATACCATGAAGCCGACTCACTTTTAATGAGGCTAGATCGCCATGGTAACCTATGCTGCATGGCTGACACTGGAGCAGGTTAAGATCAGATCAGGCACTGCCAACAGCCCAAGCCATCACCACTCGTCACCGGGAACACTGCTCACTGCCACAGGATCTTGCTTCTTGGTACAGACCCCAGCTGCTGCAAACACTAGATCACTTAATGCGCTGCTGAGAATAGTCCCCAACGAACACAGTGTCCTCCTGTCTCAGTAACATTTGATAAAAACTAGTGCCCAGCTGTTTCTAGAAATTAAACTGCATATTTGTGAGGTGTTTAAATTTACTTCAGTAGGAACCATTGCAGAGGCACAGAGCAGGGAAGCTGAACCAGCATCTTTGGTTTTGGTCTTTTGTTGGCTTGGTTTACAAAGATAGTATGATCACTGATGTGAAGCATCTACAGGGAGAAGGAACAGCTGAAACACTACCTGTGCAAGCCACAGGCAGTAATAACCTGTGTCAGGTTTATGTTGGGCCCCTGTATAACGGGACCAAAGCTCCTGTGTCAGCGGCTATTTTCAATGCAACAACATAAAAATTAATAGCAAGAGTTTTGTGTCAGTATGCAAATAGTACAGACTCTGGTTTCCACTGCATCACTGAGATTCAGGCAGACTCACCGTACACCATGCTGATTCAGTGTTTCCCTCCGTAGTCTAGTGTCAGCAAGGCTGTAAAAACAGGCCTCAAATAGCACCAAGATACAGAGAAGGCAGGAGAAGAAAGAGGAAGTTCCAGGGGAGGTTGGAAAAGACAAGGGAATTATTATTAAAATGCTGTGGCAGAATGCTTAGAAAAGTTAAGCTTTTAATAAGTAAAGATTATCATAAGATGATTTATCTGTTTGTTGAAATAATCAGTACACGTGTAAGAATAAAATGTGAAATAATTATATTAAAAGAATGGGGAGAAGTGATTTTACATCTAAAAGAGTGAAAAATGCTGTCACAGGAAAGAGAACGTACAGTAGACATACATCCCTGCTGAAATGAGGAACTGCAAAGGTTCGTGTGTGCATGGCACAGAGAAGAGACACACATCATACTGAGGAAGTAACGAAAATTATGGTTTCAAGCCTAAAAGTAAAGATTTGATGGATAATTGTTTGATCAATGTCTAATCAATGATGATCCATGTTTAGTCAAATAAAGTATTCAGAATATAAAGATTTATGTTTTGATTTTAAGGCATTGATAGTTTTGTGTGAAATCAGTGTAATTCTGATTGTTCTGTTAAAAGCAGTGATGGAATTTTGATATTTCAGTCAGATGAGTTTCTTGTATTTTTGTTACGTATTCAGATGGTTTAGTTTCTAAGAAAAGAGAAGTAGAATCCAAGGCTGGATCACAGTGGGGCGGAGGCTGGTTACGATCAGTAGGCATGGGCTGACAGTAAATAATATGCAATACTTCAGAACAATATGATTTTGCATGCCAAATAAGGTATCAACTGCAAACTGCAGCATCTGGTTGGATGAGAGGACAAAGGCTACTGCCCAGAACCCTATAAAAAACCAGGCAAAAAGAGGAACGGAGAGTTTTTTCATGGCTGCAGCCGGAGGCTCTGTCCGGTTGACTATCTGACTTCTAGGAGGCCGAGGACTGTGGGAGGCAGTCCGTGAAGAGGAGCCCTTCTGGGGGTGCTCCCCCGCAGGCTCGACCTCTTAGAGGAGGAAGATGCATGCCAACGAGGGAGAGAGAGCCCCTTTTCTGGGTGCTTGGACACAAGCGTTCAGCCTGTTAGAGGAGGAAGATGCATGTCGAAGAGGGAGAGAGCGGCCCTTTTCTGGGTGCTTGGACACAAGCGTTCGGCCTGTTAGAGGAGGAAGATGCATGTCAAAGAGGGAGAGAGCGGCCCTTTTCTGGGTGCTTGGACACAAGCGTTCGGCCTGTTAGAGGAGGAAGATGCATGCCAAAGAGGGAGAGAGCGGCCCTTTTCTGGGTGCTTGGACACAAGCGTTCGGCCTGTTAGAGGAGGAAGATGCATGCCAAAGAGGGAGAGAGCGGCCCTTTTCTGGGTGCTTGGACACAAGCGTTCGGCCTGTTAGAGGAGGAAGATGCATGCCAAAGAGGGAGAGAGCGGCCCTTTTCTGGGTGCTTGGACACAAGCGTTCGGCCTGTTAGAGGAGGAAGATGCATGCCAAAGAGGGAGAGAGCGGCCCTTTTCTGGGTGCTTGGACACAAGCGTTCGGCCTGTTAGAGGAGGAAGATGCATGCCAAAGAGGGAGAGAGCGGCCCTTTTCTGGGTGCTTGGACACAAGCGTTCGGCCTGTTAGAGGAGGAAGATGCATGCCAAAGAGGGAGAGAGCGGCCCTTTTCTGGGTGCTTGGACACAAGCGTTCGGCCTGTTAGAGGAGGAAGATGCATGCCAAAGAGGGAGAGAGCGGCCCTTTTCTGGGTGCTTGGACACAAGCGTTCGGCCTGTTAGAGGAGGAAGATGCATGCCAAAGAGGGAGAGAGCGGCCCTTTTCTGGGTGCTTGGACACAAGCGTTCGGCCTGTTAGAGGAGGAAGATGCATGCCAAAGAGGGAGAGAGCGGCCCTTTTCTGGGTGCTTGGACACAAGCGTTCGGCCTGTTAGAGGAGGAAGATGCATGCCAAAGAGGGAGAGAGCGGCCCTTTTCTGGGTGCTTGGACACAAGCGTTCGGCCTGTTAGAGGAGGAAGATGCATGCCAAAGAGGGAGAGAGCGGCCCTTTTCTGGGTGCTTGGACACAAGCGTTCGGCCTGTTAGAGGAGGAAGATGCATGCCAAAGAGGGAGAGAGCGGCCCTTTTCTGGGTGCTTGGACACAAGCGTTCGGCCTGTTAGAGGAGGAAGATGCATGCCAAAGAGGGAGAGAGCGGCCCTTTTCTGGGTGCTTGGACACAAGCGTTCGGCCTGTTAGAGGAGGAAGATGCATGCCAAAGAGGGAGAGAGCGGCCCTTTTCTGGGTGCTTGGACACAAGCGTTCGGCCTGTTAGAGGAGGAAGATGCATGCCAAAGAGGGAGAGAGCGGCCCTTTTCTGGGTGCTTGGACACAAGCGTTCGGCCTGTTAGAGGAGGAAGATGCATGCCAAAGAGGGAGAGAGCGGCCCTTTTCTGGGTGCTTGGACACAAGCGTTCGGCCTGTTAGAGGAGGAAGATGCATGCCAAAGAGGGAGAGAGCGGCCCTTTTCTGGGTGCTTGGACACAAGCGTTCGGCCTGTTAGAGGAGGAAGATGCATGCCAAAGAGGGAGAGAGCGGCCCTTTTCTGGGTGCTTGGACACAAGCGTTCGGCCTGTTAGAGGAGGAAGATGCATGCCAAAGAGGGAGAGAGCGGCCCTTTTCTGGGTGCTTGGACACAAGCGTTCGGCCTGTTAGAGGAGGAAGATGCATGCCAAAGAGGGAGAGAGCGGCCCTTTTCTGGGTGCTTGGACACAAGCGTTCGGCCTGTTAGAGGAGGAAGATGCATGCCAAAGAGGGAGAGAGCGGCCCTTTTCTGGGTGCTTGGACACAAGCGTTCGGCCTGTTAGAGGAGGAAGATGCATGCCAAAGAGGGAGAGAGCGGCCCTTTTCTGGGTGCTTGGACACAAGCGTTCGGCCTGTTAGAGGAGGAAGATGCATGCCAAAGAGGGAGAGAGCGGCCCTTTTCTGGGTGCTTGGACACAAGCGTTCGGCCTGTTAGAGGAGGAAGATGCATGCCAAAGAGGGAGAGAGCGGCCCTTTTCTGGGTGCTTGGACACAAGCGTTCGGCCTGTTAGAGGAGGAAGATGCATGCCAAAGAGGGAGAGAGCGGCCCTTTTCTGGGTGCTTGGACACAAGCGTTCGGCCTGTTAGAGGAGGAAGATGCATGCCAAAGAGGGAGAGAGCGGCCCTTTTCTGGGTGCTTGGACACAAGCGTTCGGCCTGTTAGAGGAGGAAGATGCATGCCAAAGAGGGAGAGAGCGGCCCTTTTCTGGGTGCTTGGACACAAGCGTTCGGCCTGTTAGAGGAGGAAGATGCATGCCAAAGAGGGAGAGAGCGGCCCTTTTCTGGGTGCTTGGACACAAGCGTTCGGCCTGTTAGAGGAGGAAGATGCATGCCAAAGAGGGAGAGAGCGGCCCTTTTCTGGGTGCTTGGACACAAGCGTTCGGCCTGTTAGAGGAGGAAGATGCATGCCAAAGAGGGAGAGAGCGGCCCTTTTCTGGGTGCTTGGACACAAGCGTTCGGCCTGTTAGAGGAGGAAGATGCATGCCAAAGAGGGAGAGAGCGGCCCTTTTCTGGGTGCTTGGACACAAGCGTTCGGCCTGTTAGAGGAGGAAGATGCATGCCAAAGAGGGAGAGAGCGGCCCTTTTCTGGGTGCTTGGACACAAGCGTTCGGCCTGTTAGAGGAGGAAGATGCATGCCAAAGAGGGAGAGAGCGGCCCTTTTCTGGGTGCTTGGACACAAGCGTTCGGCCTGTTAGAGGAGGAAGATGCATGCCAAAGAGGGAGAGAGCGGCCCTTTTCTGGGTGCTTGGACACAAGCGTTCGGCCTGTTAGAGGAGGAAGATGCATGCCAAAGAGGGAGAGAGCGGCCCTTTTCTGGGTGCTTGGACACAAGCGTTCGGCCTGTTAGAGGAGGAAGATGCATGCCAAAGAGGGAGAGAGCGGCCCTTTTCTGGGTGCTTGGACACAAGCGTTCGGCCTGTTAGAGGAGGAAGATGCATGCCAAAGAGGGAGAGAGCGGCCCTTTTCTGGGTGCTTGGACACAAGCGTTCGGCCTGTTAGAGGAGGAAGATGCATGCCAAAGAGGGAGAGAGCGGCCCTTTTCTGGGTGCTTGGACACAAGCGTTCGGCCTGTTAGAGGAGGAAGATGCATGCCAAAGAGGGAGAGAGCGGCCCTTTTCTGGGTGCTTGGACACAAGCGTTCGGCCTGTTAGAGGAGGAAGATGCATGCCAAAGAGGGAGAGAGCGGCCCTTTTCTGGGTGCTTGGACACAAGCGTTCGGCCTGTTAGAGGAGGAAGATGCATGCCAAAGAGGGAGAGAGCGGCCCTTTTCTGGGTGCTTGGACACAAGCGTTCGGCCTGTTAGAGGAGGAAGATGCATGCCAAAGAGGGAGAGAGCGGCCCTTTTCTGGGTGCTTGGACACAAGCGTTCGGCCTGTTAGAGGAGGAAGATGCATGCCAAAGAGGGAGAGAGCGGCCCTTTTCTGGGTGCTTGGACACAAGCGTTCGGCCTGTTAGAGGAGGAAGATGCATGCCAAAGAGGGAGAGAGCGGCCCTTTTCTGGGTGCTTGGACACAAGCGTTCGGCCTGTTAGAGGAGGAAGATGCATGCCAAAGAGGGAGAGAGCGGCCCTTTTCTGGGTGCTTGGACACAAGCGTTCGGCCTGTTAGAGGAGGAAGATGCATGCCAAAGAGGGAGAGAGCGGCCCTTTTCTGGGTGCTTGGACACAAGCGTTCGGCCTGTTAGAGGAGGAAGATGCATGCCAAAGAGGGAGAGAGCGGCCCTTTTCTGGGTGCTTGGACACAAGCGTTCGGCCTGTTAGAGGAGGAAGATGCATGCCAAAGAGGGAGAGAGCGGCCCTTTTCTGGGTGCTTGGACACAAGCGTTCGGCCTGTTAGAGGAGGAAGATGCATGCCAAAGAGGGAGAGAGCGGCCCTTTTCTGGGTGCTTGGACACAAGCGTTCGGCCTGTTAGAGGAGGAAGATGCACGTGAATTTGTCCGATTTCTCTCTGAGCATTTTGAGGATTGAACCGGATGAGCTTTGATATTTTTGTTTATAAATTCTTTTCCTTGTGAAGGCTTGAGTCATGGCAAAAAGGAAAAAGAGGAACAAACGATGGCCCAATCTGCCACTGCCCTACCCAGGGCCAGCTGAGAGCTAGATTGCATGAGAAAAATCTTTGTTCAGATCAAGAGCTTAGCTCAACCATAGTAATTTTAATCAGTATGATCACTTTAGATTTATGTTTAGAAATAGTAGCTGGTTTATTTAGATTGCAAGCAAATCAAGACAGTTATTGATGATTTTAAGGGTTGTTTTATTGTTTGTTGCTTTGCTGTAGCTCCGTTAAGCTTCTATATAAAATTCCTGAAAAGGTTTAATACTCTGTGGTTATTGAGTCAAGTTTGATGTTATTGACATTCTTATGATTTTAGTGGGTTTACACTTTTAAATGGTAATTGTTAAAGTTGCACATATTGCACAATTCCCAGTGAGTGCGATTTCCCAAATCTTAGTGTCTGAGGCTGCATAACAGTTCACAGGGTTGACAGAAGGCCAAGGTTGAACTGCTGAAATGATTTTTAGACAGATACATCAGAAAAGGGTTTATCTAAAATATCCAGTTGTTTACTTGTTACATAATACACACTATTCTTTAAATATCCTATCTTTAATAACATCTTATGTTAACTAAATACTACTATAATATGGTCTTAAGTGTCCAGTGACACAGCTTTCATTGGTTATTTCAGACTAAATTCAACACTCCCTCAAAGAGCCAGAGTGTACTGGTTTATAAAAATTTCTCAGTACAGTACCATCTGAGGGTTTAAGGAGGTAGCTGCCACAATAACTGCAGGTTGTTATTATTTGGGAGGTTTGGGGTCTTATCCTGAATTAATAACATGTAAGAGGGAGGTCTGCAGGGAACTCTGCTCACAGATTCGTGGTAGTCAATTACTGAGTGAATATCTCCATCATAAAACCTCATGCAGTGTTTGGAGCTTTAATATGTTTCAAATATGCCACCTTAGTGTGAGAGGTTAAGCTTTATTCCTATGTCCAGGGGTTAGCATATCGTGGCCTTCATAGACTAGACTAGTCTAGTCAGCTGAAAAAGGCTCCAACAGCAATAAGTGCAGACACAGACAAAAAATCATTTTCACCTGACATTTGCAGCCTTGCTAAGATTTATTTAATGGTTTCAAATGTGAGAGAACAGTCTGCTGTTCAATGTAGTCAACATGTGTAACTAGGCAAATGGACAAAACATTGTCACGTGTCCGCTAACCACCACCACATAATCACTGACTCTCTGCTGCCGGTTCTTCACCCAGAATCAATGTGGAATTACCTAAATCGTCAGCGTTGGGTCAAACTTGAAACAAACTTCTGTCAAAAGAGGACAAGTTCTTGAGGACAAAAAGATGACATTTTCTTCTGAAATGCATCCAGCTGACTGACGGAGCCCTCCTGTATCTACACTATGTGTTGGTAGCAGAGCTCCCTGTATCCTCTGCAGGTTTGTTACCACTGTGCTGAGTGCTGATGTGTTGAGTCATTTCCTTGCGGTTGGTTGTGGTGTGGCCACACTGCACACATGTGTAGCGCCCCTTTGTGTGCTCCCAAAGGATGCGTCTGCTGTAGGTTATTCCTAGTGCATGAAAAGACAAATTATGGTCTGAGTAAAGCAAGTGCATATAACAATTCAATATTTAAAATTCCCTGTGACCAAACAGACTCAATCACAAAGCAGGCTTCATTCTATGCCTGCAAAGGCCAACTTCTCCCCAACAGCAGGATGCTGCACAGCTTAGAGGTCAGCGCTTTCTCAATACCTTACATCAGTGATATGAAGATTCTGATTTGCATTTGAAGCCACACAACATTTGGAGAAGCCTGTAAATAACCGGATGTAAAGATCCTATATGGGTATCAAGCACTTTCAGAGGTTTCACAGGAAACAGTGCCAAGAGTCCATGCTAGCCAGCAGACAAGAAGAGCCCACCAGGCAGCAGACAACCCAAAGGCTAAAGGGGCTACAGAGAAGTTGCTCAACTTCATTATACTTGATGACTAACCACCACGGAGAATGTCAGATTTGTTGAAGCACTTACAGCCCAGGTTTAATCTGCCATCCAGAAAATGCATTTCAGAGGCTGCTATACCCGACCTATACAACTCAGTGTCATTAGAGAAGATGTTAAAGCCATGAGCTTCACAATTGATATTTAGCCCTCAGATCCCTTCTGTTCAACTGCCACTTTACTGGACCCTCGTTTAAAATCATCACTGGAACTAATTTGACTCGCAGCTGCCTGCACAGAAAAAAGCATGTTTGCGGCCTGAATGCGGCCAGCTTTGTGTAGTTTAGATGATTTTATAGTGGAAGCTCTCGCTGAGGGCACTGTGGAAGTAAACAGGTAGGGTTGTAGAGTGAGGAAAGGCTCACCTTGATTCTTCCTCCAGACTGCTGAGGAACCAGGGGGAGAGTGAGGAACTGAACCTGGAGCCGGGCGGACAGGCTCAGGCGACACAGTCTGCATCTGCTTCTGATCCTGGGCATCAGGCAGGTCAGGAGCTGCCGCTGGGTCATCTGTGTTTAGACGTGGAGGCAGATTGGTGACACCATTCCTGAGCGGAAACTGGGGAGCTGCCTCTGGGAACTGCTGAGAAGTGAGCTGCTGAGGGGAGGTCTCTGACTGAGACAAGAAGGGGGGCCCAAGGATGAAAGGGGCAGTAGAGTCTGGCTGCAGAACAGCGGTCGGAAAGGAAGCATGAGGGCTTTGGCTCTCAGAGGCCAGTTGCTTGAAAGCAGACGCTGAATCCAGCTGTGGGAGCTTCTGGTCTGTGGGGGGCGTGTTTGTGTTGACCACAGCAGCAGGCTGAGGGGCCGTTGCTTCTGTCGCCTTTGTTTTTCCCCGCGGCACTTTGGAACAGGTGTGCAGATGAGTCAGGAGGCCGCGGTAGGATCGCAACTTTGTGCGACAGCTCTCACACCTTCAGAACAAGGAGCACCATTACATGACTAGAATACATAACCAGGACCTCGCTGTGAGTGAAGCACTAAAAGAAATATCAACTCACAGGAAAAATATGTTGGGCTTGTGGTGATGCCTCATATGTTCCATCAGTTGCTGCATGTTGGGGAAGGAGCCGCTGCAGCCGGCAGTGAAGCACAGCAACACCTTTCCTGAGGAGAGAACAGGCGGTGTTTACAGAGTGATGTGGTGTAGCTCTCCAACCCAAATCACACCAAAACAGGCGTACAGCCAGAGTGGACGTTTATCTTTTACTAATAAAAGTACTTTTTGAAATGATTCAGACTTTGCTATCTTTTTTTACTAGCTCTGTGCAAACAAGCATTGGACTGACAAAAGGGGGGTCAGCTCAGAGTCTTGTCGACCAATGACTCAAATCTTGTCTTTAATAAGTGAATGAATAGTTTTTTCATCATGACATGATTTTCCCAATAAAATCACACTATACAAAAAGTTTGTTGTGCAGCATAAGATGTGGCATAGAAAATTCATGTTACTGTGAAAAGAACATTCAATCCATTCATGGGAAATTCATGGGTATGGGACAGAACTGAGATCACAATGATCTTTACCAAAATCTACTTTGTTCATATGCAGGTCCACATGGACGCTTGTGCCAGATGAGCGGCATTC